TGCATAATCAAGGAACCGAAGCAACCATCAGCCATCAAGTCAGGGGTGGGATTCAGCCAGTTTGGACTGGTTCAGGCAAATCGGATGCTAACTTTGCATCCGGTTTGCCAAACTGGTTGTTACAAGTACTGGCTGCCCCCCTCCCCTCCCACCTTGCCCCTCCCAAGAGTCTCCAGATGGCCTGTTCATGATGCTAGGTAAGTGCAGGGCCCATATGGAAGCTATGGGAGGGTGAAAAACGAACCTACTGGAAGTTCCAGAAGTCCAGAAACAGGTCTGTTTCTGGCTTCAGGAGGGCCTCTGGAGCCCGGGAGAGGCCATTTTCGCCCTCCTGGAGGCTTGAGGAAAGCCTCCGGAGCCTGGAGAGGGCAGAAACACCCTCCATGAGGAGGCCAAGGAGGCCACGCTCCCAATGGCCACGCCCATCCAGCAATCGGGCAGAGAAACCGGTTGCTAAAAAAATTTCAATCCCACCCCCTGCATCAAGTCCTTGTGATATTGTGGTCAACAGTAATTATTCTGCACTGTGGAAGAACTGTTGGCCGTAAACTGGAGAATTGGTTCAAAGCCCAACTCTAGGCAGGTGGGTCACATGTTGACCCCGCCCCCCTCTGCTACAGAATGTCCAGGAGCAACAATCTACCATCTTCATTTAGGAGATGGAGGAGAACAAACTGCCTAGAAAGCTTTTTGTTTGGATGTCATGATGATACGGAAACAATTATGACCAATCGTTCTCCACCTGCGCCCAACTCCTGGAGGCCACAATTATCGTCCCCTCTGAATCCACTGATCTCCTCTGTGGCCAATGCAGTTCATTATAGCCCAACTCTCTTTCCATGGGGAGACACGTCCTTTTATTATCTACCACAGCAGCATGAAAATGTAGGACAAAGAGGGATTATCTGGATCTTTAAAGAGGAGGCTGTTCCCATTGCCTGGAGAGGGACATTAGAAGCTATTTCAGGATTTGGAAGAGCCACTGGGCAGGCGTCAGTGGCTGGTTCTCTGATTAGTTCTTGTTTAGCGTCTAGGAAACAGGAGCATCAAGTCTGTGGGTTGTTTTTACGCTTGCGACACCTGCTTGTTTGGGGATAATAGAAGTGCTTGTTTAAGCTGATCTTTAGAGTTGCGGCTCAGATAGAATAGCATGCAATTGCGACCAACAATGAAAATTTCCCAATCAACATGTACGGGGATGGATGAATTGGGCAGCTTTCTTTTCCTGCAAAATCTCAAGCCCTCCCGTCTCTCCAGATTACAAAAAGAAAACCTTATAACAGGAGAACAATTCAAAAAAGGAGCTGCCCCAAAAATTAATGATATAGAAAAGGGTTCAGCAACCTGCAGCTCTGGAGCTGCATGTGGCTCTTTCATCCCTCTGCTGCGGCTCCCTGTTGATGGTCGATGCCACAATTTTGAGAGGCGTTCCCGGTTGGGGGTGGGGGAAGCAGGGCACGCCAGGAGGAGACTCTATGGCAAGGGATGGGTTTTCTGGTCAGCTCCACAATGGATAGGGCTTTCAGTTAGGACAGGTAGAGGACACCGCGCTAGGAGGAGACTCTATGGTGGGGGAACCAGACTTCTGGTTGGCTCCAGAATTGAATGGGGCGCTTCCGGTTAGGACCTTTGTAGCTCTTTGCGTGTTTAAGGTTGCCAACCCCTGATATAGAAGCACAACATGATATAGCTATCATTAGTAAGGTGAATAGCTTGAAATGGCTGAGCAAATACAAACATATTTTTTTCAAGTAGACAGTTATTTGAAGTTGCAACTGCCAAAACATTTTAGCGAGCGAGATTCGAACAGCTCAACACAATGGTCAGGTATGGGAGATTCTATTCTATACCCTACAATGTGCGTCTCTGCATTTGCGGAGAGGCAGAGGTAGAAGACCTGGCTCACATCCTATTGGATTGTTGCTTGTATAAGAGGGTGAGAGGCAGGTACCTTGGTCCATATACCGAACGAAGGACCCATTGAGATCCCCATATCAAAACAATTTACTTTATGTGTGGCCAGAGCCTGAAAATAACATTGAACACAGCACAGTACTTAAACAAAATGGTTCGGTTGAGATCTGCATACGTGGGACTGATTGGGGCAGATTGTAAGAGTAACACCGAAATATAATTTTATGTCGTTTTACTATTTAACATACTTACATATTAAATTATATTGTATCTTATCCTATAACTATTGTATTTTACCTTACTCTTAGTTTAAATTGTTTTTATATGATTTTATTGGTGATATGCGTTTGAACCTTCTGCTTTGATATGGCCTATAGGACAATCAATAAAGCTATAATGGGTAAAGGTTCCCCTCGCACATATGTGCTAGTCATTCCCGACTCTAGGGGGCGGTGCTTATCTCCATTTCAAAGCCAAAGAGCCAGCACTGTCTAAAAACGTCTCCGTGGTCATGTGGCCGGCATGACTAAATGCCGAAGGCACACGGGACATTGTTCCCTTCCCACCAAAGGTGGTTCCTATTTTTCTACTTGCATTTTTACATGCTTTCGAACTGCTAGGTTGGCAGAAGCTGGGACAAGTAATGGGAGTTCACTCCATTATGCAACGCTAGGGATTCGAACCGCCAAACTGCCAACCTTTCTATTGGACAAGCTTTGCATCTTAACCACTGAGTTACTGCAAAGCTATAATAATAATAATAATAATAATAATAATAATAATAATAATAATAATAATAATAATAATAATAATAATAATAATAATAATAATAATAATAATAATAATAATACCATACAGTATTCCAAGTTCTTGTTTTAAAATGAGTCAGATTTAAGAAGGACAGTTATTCCTCACCTGGAACATAGCAGGTTATACAGATGGACTCACGTAGCTGTTACAGGAGGAAACAAGAAAAAAAGAAGACATGAATTTAGATTCAATGCTTCCAGCATCACGTAGATGCTGCCTGAATCTTCAGTTGTTGCTAAGCACACAAAATATCCCTGACAACATGGACACAATCTATTTCTAATTTTTGTCCCCACTGGAATATATCTTCAAATGTGTGTTGTTGCTTTTTTTTTCACGTGCACAAAAGAAGGAAAGGTTAAAATGATATAGATCAGCAGAGGACATCAATGAGTCAAGATTGCCCAAGATTGCCCAAGAAGATTGAAAGGAGGAGGAGGAGGAGGAAGATTACTTTATGGACAAAAATGCAAAAGTTGGTTGCAAAAGTTGATGGAATTAGGAGAGATGGCTCAATTGACTGCTTTGTTTAAAGAAAAGAACACCATGAATTTTCTTTCATCTTGGAAACCGTTCCTGGACTTTGTGCTTGAAGTAGGGGGAAAAAAACACAAAAATCTGATTTGGAGTTTTGCTGAGTAAATAGGTTTGTTGTTATAGAAATCATATTCTTTTAATGACCCCATAATCCCTTGCAGAATGGAGTGTGGGCAATTGAATGGAGCTGAATGTTTACTGGCCAGATGCCCTTCCTGTCACCAATGCCGAGTTATATTCAGCAGATATATTCCCATCGTTACTACAGAGAGAAATGTCTGCCTCTACCTAGGATTGAGCTCAGAGCCTCCTAATTGTGAGATGAGAGTTCTATTGCAAGGCCACCATACCACTCGTTGGTTGTTATAGAATGGTGAGCATATATTATTATTTAAAAGTAAAAGGCTGGAGCTTTATGTTATTACCTTATTTTACTGCATCAAAAGGATTCGGAAATCAATGCTTCCCCCCCCCTCTCGTTTTCCCTTCTACCCTACACTTTTTCCTCTTTCCCTTTTCCTCCCTTATTTTACCATTATTTCCATTTTTCTTTGCATTTCTGTATTTCATATTTCGATAAACCAATAAGATTTTGAAATGGAGGAGGGAACCACAAAGGCACTATAGGAATCTGTACAAAGTTAAGTCTCCGACTTTTGGGACCAGACTTTCCATGGCTAAGCAAAGAGATGGATAAGTGAGTCGCCCCTGAATTGCAACCTCTCTTTTTTTTGCCAGGGTTGTTAAGCAAATCAGGTCATTAATGAGCCACAGTGGCACAGTGGTGAGAGTGCAGTACTCCAGGCTACTTCTGCCGACTGCCGGCTGCCTGCAATTTGGCAGTTCGAATCTCACCAGGCTCAAGGTTGACTCAGCCTTCCATCCTTCCGAGGTGGGTAAAATGAGAACCCAGATTGTTGAGAGCCATAGGCTGACTCTGTAAACCTCTTACAGAGGACTGTAAAGTGCTATATAAGTCTTAAGTGCTATTGCTATTAAGCAAATTAGGCTTACCCCCATTGACTTTGCTTGTTGAAAGTCAGCTGAAAAGATTGCAATTGACGATCGCCGGATCCCGCACGATGCAAGTGTTATAAATAAATATATGCTGTTTGCCCAAAGCCCAAATTTTGTTCATGTGACTGTGGGGATGCAGCAGCAGTCATAAGTGTGAGTACCAGTCATAAGTGCCATTGCAACTTTGAACAGTTGCCAAAGAAATTGTTGCAAACCAAGGATTAGATCTAGGTCATTTGATGGGAGGTCACAGGTGAATTCCAGGACTGGAACCTACTCTGAGAAATCAAAAACTGCATTGATGCAAACAAGCTCAGTTCAAACATCTTTACAGATAGTCCTTGACTTATAACAGTTCATTTAGTGGCCATTTGAAGTCACAGCGGCANCAGTCAGCTGAAGTGGCCTGCAGTACTGCATCCTAACCACTGAGCCACCTCGGCTCATATGACAGAGAACTGACTGATGGGTGAGAAATCTGTCAAACATAGAACTTACTCAAACAGAAAAGAATGTTTTCTTTCTTTCTTGATAGAAAGTTCACTTGTCTTTTGGGAAAGCACCTTTGGGACAACCGTGACCAGGATGATTGAGAATATCCATAGACCTTTAATTTTGTGAGTTCCACATTCCCCAGAATAAAGTTTCCCGCTGACACCAGACATGGGACAGTCCCTTTTCTTGCCATAATCTTCACTGTGTTATTCTGTGTTTCTTTGCAGGGATCCTGTTTACAATGCTGGTGTTTGGACCGGCCTGTGGATTTATCCTAGGATCTCTCTGTACCAAAATCTATGTGGATGCTGTCTTCATTGACACAAGTAGGTAACTTTTTTCCCCCGGGGTTGCATACAGATAAGAAAATTCTTTAACCATGAAGCATCAAAAGAGAAAGAGGGAAGAAAATGAAATTCAATGTAACAAATCTAACAAAATGAAATTCAATGTAGAGAAAAGTAAAGTCCTACACTTAGGTTAAAAAAAACCAAAAGTACATATATAAACTGGGTGAGACCAGTTAAGAGCAGTGACTTTGAGCGGAATCTTGGAGTCTTAGTGGACAACCAGCTAAATATGAGCCAGCAGTGTGCAGAGGCAGCCAAAAAAGGTCATGCAATCCTAAATTGCATTAACAGAGAAATACAATCAAGATCAAGTGAGGTAGTAATGCCACTCTATAAAGCCCTAGTAAGACCACAGCTAGAGTACTGCATCCAGTTTTGGTCACCACACTATAAAAAATATGTTGAGAATTTAGAAAAAGTGCGGAGGTGAGCGACCAGGATGATTAGAGGACTGGAGACTAAAATATATGAGGAACAGTTGCAGGAACTGGGCATGGCTAGCCTAGCGAAGAGAAGGACCAGAGGAGACAGGATAGCAGTCTTCCAATATTTGAGGGGCTGCCACAGAGAGAAGATGGTCAAGCTATTTTCCAAAGCACCTGAAGGCCAGAGAAGGATAATAAATGGAAACTGACCAAGGAGAGATTCAACCTAGAAATAAGGAGGAATTTTCTGACAATGAGAACAATCAACCAATAGAACAGAAGTTGCCTTCAGAAGTTATGGGGGCTTCATCATTTTCATCTTTATCATTCTTGTTTCAAGAAAAGATTGGTCTGAGAGACAGATCACTTTAATGCAGTATTCTGGGAGTCGACATCCGCAAATACTGGCAAGGGAATTCTGGGAATTGAAGTTCACACATCTTGAAGTTGTTACGGTTGAGGGTGCTATTTGAAACCCTGACACACTGTTTTAACATACCATATTCCCCAGTGACAAACTTTAGATCAGTGTTTCTCAACCTTGGCCACTTGAAGATGTCTGGACTTCAACTCCCAGAATTCTCCAGCCAGCAAATGCTGGCTGGGGAATTCTGGGAGTTGAAGTCCGGACATCTTCAAGTGGCCAAGGTTGAGAAACACTGCTTTAGATGATACGAAGAACGGTTGCGGGAATTGGGATGTCTAGTTTATTGAAAGAGGGACTAGGGGTGACATGGTAGCAGTGTTCCAATATTTAAAGGGCTGCTACAAAGAAGAGAAGATCAACCTGTCCTCTAAAGTCTCAGAAGGCAGGACAAGAAGCAATGGATGGAAACCAGCCAAGGAGAGAAGCAACCTAGAACTAAGGAAACAATTCCTGATAGTTAGAAGTTAGAACAATTAATCAATGGAACGATTTGCTTCCAGAAGGGTGCTCCATCACTGGAGGTTTTTAGAGAGGAGATTAAACAACCATTTGTGTGAAATGGTATAGGGCAGTGTTTTTCAACCTTGGCAACTTGAAGATGTCTGGACTTCAACTCCCAGAATTCCCCAGCCAGCGAATGCTGGCTGGGGAATTCTGGGAGTTGAAGTCCAGACATCTTCAAGTTGCCAAGGTTGAAAAACACTGGTATAGGGTATCCTGCTTGAGCAGGGGGTTGGACTAGAAGACCTCCAAGGTCTCTTCCAACTCTGTTATTCAGTTAGGGCAGTCCTTAGAAGTTAAAGGTAAAGGTAAAGGTTCCCCTCACACATATATGGTAGTCGTTCCCAACTCTAGGAGACGGCGCACATCTCTGTTTCAAAGCAGCTGTCCAAAGATGTATCTGTAGTCATGCGGCCGGCATGACTAAATGCGAAAGGCACATGGAACGCTGATATCTTCCCACCAAAGGTGGTCCCTATTTTTCTACTGGAATTTTTACATGCTTTTGAACTGCTAGGTTGGCAGAAGCTGGGACAAGTAATGCGAGCTCACTCCGTTATGTGGCGCTAGGGATTCGAACTGCCGAACTGACCTTTCTGATCGACAAGCTCAGCATCTTAGCCACAGAGTCACCACGTCCCTGCGTCCCTACACTTAGAGGGTAGAGGGCTACAGTTCTATTTAGCTCTCCAAGATTTCAATTGAGCATCTTTTCAAGCTACCCTGAAGGTGCCTAGAATTAAAACTGGGTTTATATCTTGCATGTAAAACTGACACAATTCAGTCTCCCTTCTCCCCTGTCCCTTCCTTTGGAGCTAGCAGTAAAAAGTCGCCCAGTTTTCTATATGACATCTTTTCCACTGGTGTTCCTTGGTTTTCCTTTCCCCTGAAAACCCTTAAAGAATAGCAGAATAGCAAGATAAATATGAATCTAAAAATGCAGGATTCAAGCAATATAACAGTAAGAACATTAGCCCTGGAAAACATTAGGATACATCCACCCTGTTTTTTCCCACAAGGGGGCAGATTTCTGGGCTGATCCAGGCTCCACCCCCCACTCCCGGATTTTAATAGAAGTAAAAGTACAAGGTAACAAGGTAGATAAACTTTTAAAGAGATGAGTCTGTTCAGATTTTAACATCCTTTTCATTTGGAATATGATCATATCCTGTGCCCTGTTAGCAAAATTGACTCCGTATTTCCTGACCTGATCAGGTGACCCTGGCACATTTCAGAGTTGCGTGGTTATTCTAGAAAGTCTTACAGGCCAAAAAACTTTCTGGCTGTACACACTGGTGTGAGTTGGTGGGGCATTATATCCTGCAATCGGTTAAAAGCAATACAGAAAAACTGATGCTTTCTTGACCTTGTTGAAAAAAAAGCTGAAATTCTCTGCAGCGAAAGTGATACATGAGCCAGATAGAATAGAATAGAATAGAATAGAACAACAGAGTTGGAAGAGACCTGGGAGGTCTTCTAATCCCACCCCCTACTCAAGCAGGAAACCCTACGCCACTTTAGACAAATGTTTAGCTAACATCTTCTTAAAAACTTCCAGTGTTGGACCATTCACAACTTCTGGAGGCTCCACTTATTAATTGTTCTAACTGTCAGGAAATTTCTTCCCAGTTCTAAGTTGCTTCTCTCCTTGATTAGTTTCCACCCATTGCTCTAAAGGTGCTTTGGAGAATAGTTTGACTCCCTCTTCTTTGTGGCAGCCCCTGAGATATCCGATCACTGCTATCATGTCACTCCTAGTCCTTCTTTTCATCAAACTAGACATACCCAGTTCCAGCAACCGTTCTTCATATGTTTTAACCTCCAGTCCCCTAATCGTCTTTGTTGCTCTTCTCTGCATTCTTTCTAGAGTTTCAACATCCTTTTTGCATCATGGCGACCAAAACTGAATGCAGGATTCCAAGTGTGGCCTTACCAAGGCATTATAAAGTGGTATTAACACTTCACATGATCTTGATTCTATCCCCCTGTTTATGCAGCCCAGAACTGTGTTGGCTTTTTTGGCAGCTGCTGCACATGGCTGGCTCCTATTTAAATGGTTGTCCACTAGGACTCCAAGATCTCTCTTACTACTATTGAGCAAGGTACCACCTATACTGTACCTGTGCATTTCGTTTTTCTTGCCTAAATGTAGAACCTTACTTGATGTTAGTATTTGACTTGCCCATCAAAAGCATCAAGGTCATGCCATCCAAATGCATTCTTCTCAGGATCCATGGTGAAAATCTTTTACTTCCAAAATGACAATTTTGAAAAGGATCTTCTTCCTTATCAAGGGTGCTTGTCAGGATTCCAGATTTCTTTGCCCTGCGGTAAGCAAGGAAATCAATATTGCTGGCTGGAGTGAGCAACAGACCACATAACCACATCCAGTTATTAAATGCTGAAATTGATTAGACTAGGTTTATCAGAAGCATGCCAGTTGAAAGGCAGGGAACGTTTCCCGTTTTTAAATGCAATTTCACAACATCTGAATGTGTAAAAATAAAAATAAAAATGTCCAAGCACACACACTTGGAAAAAAATAGAAAAAAGTGGGTATAGTTGCTGTGGATAGTACCTTTTCCCTTCTTATCCATTTGCACTCAGACTCAAGAGCTGTGGCAATTTGGGCTTCGTACTGAAAGTCCTAAAACCTGAATCCAATGTGGATTTCGGGGTTTTTTGTTTTGTAAAATAATTTTGCAATATTTTCTCTACATGACCACTAGGAGGTACTATAGGACCATTTTCATGCTGTTGGAATTTGATAAGCATGCTTCTGATACTATAAGGGAGGCCTAACATATGAAGCTACCTATGACTGATCACATAGAGGGAGGGAGGGAGGGAGGGAGGGAGGGAGGAAGAGAAGGAGAGAGGGAAAAAGAGTGAGGGAGGAAAAAGAGAGAGGGAGATGCAGAAAGAGAGAGGGGGAGGGTGGAAAAAGATATACATGGGAGGAGAGAGAGAGGGAGGGAGAAAGGAAATATATAGAGAGAGGGAGAGAGAAATATAGAGGGAAGGAGAGAGGGAAAGAGAGAAGGAGAGAGGGAAAGAGAGAGGAAAGGAGGAGAAGGAGGGAGGAAAAAGAGATATAGAGGGAGTGAGAGAGGGAGGGAGGGAGGAAAAAAGATATAGAGGGAGGGAGGGAGAGGACATATGAACATGCCTGTTGTAAAGTTATGTTTGGCAATCAGAGAGATGCTCTACATAAACTTTACATTTTGTTTTTATTTTCAGTTTGATTTAATTTTGGGCACCTGTTATGTTTTTTGCTTCGCAGAGATAATATATGTTTCGTTGTGTTTGGTTCCTTTTGGCTTTTAGTCTTCTGTCATTGTTTTAAAAGTAATAAAGATAAATCACTGGTATTATAATGCCAGTAAGAGGACTAGTGTCTCCAGCAGTGTCTTAGCCGGATTTGCAAAACGCCCGGGGCGAAGGAGAAGTGAAGGAAGTGTTTTTGGATTCTGCTTCTGTGGAAACCTACAGAAGTGTCCACGTGTTGTGAAGCAGCTCATCACCTTAGGCCACAACATGATTTAGTGTGTTGTGCAAAGCCAGCTATGTAGGTGGGGAAGCCACAAAGAGCACACTTTTTTGGAAGGCAATTAGGTTGCAGACACTAGAGACTCATATCAGTCATTGACAAAGAGATCAGAAACTAACATTTTGGCCCGTTCTGGGGAACGTCGGAATTCATTTAAAACAAAATAGGAATCACCCAAAACAGCAATTTGGGTGATACCAATAGTAATTATCTCTAAAGCACCTGAGGACTGGACAAGAAGTAACAGATGGAAGCTTATTAAAGAGGAGAAATTTCCTATCAGTGAGAACAATTAACAAGTAGAATGCCTACTTGGCTACACAAATTGGGAGTGCTCCATCACTGGAGGTTTTTATGAATAAATTGGACAACCATCTATATGGAATGGTATAAGGTCTTCTGCAGGGGGTTGGACTGGAAGACCTCCAAGGTCCCTTCTGACTCCATTATTCTGTATTCTGTAATAACATAATCCTACAGTGTGGGATTCTGGCCTTGAAGGCCTGCAGATATCATAAGCGTATTGGAATGTTTAATATACTATACTGACTCTGTAAACCAATTAGAGAGCTCTGTAAAGCACCGTAAAGGGGTATATAAGTCTCAGTGTGATTGCTATAAGAGAAGACTCTTAGAGCAAAATATAGATAAAATTATTATCTTTTAGTTATACATTTAACTAAATGGTAATCATTTTATCTATAAAGGTAAAGGTTCCCCCACAGATATGTGCTAGTCGTTCCCGACTCTAGGGGGCAGTACTCATCTCCATTTCAAAGCCAAAGAGCCAGCGCTGTCCGAAGATGTCTCCATGGTCATGTGGCCGGCATGACTCAATGCCAAAGGAGCACGGAACGCTGTTCCCTTCCCACCAAAAGTGGTTCCTATTTTTTCTACTTGCATTTTTACGTGCTTTCAAACTGCTAGGCTGGCAGAAGCTGGGACAAGTCACGGGAGCTCACTCTGTTACATAGCTCTAGGGATTCGAACTGCTGAACTGCCGACCTTTCTGATTGGCAAGCTCAGCGTCTTAGCCACTGAGCTGCCACGTCCCTTTCATTTTATCTATATTTTGTTTTAATTAACCGGGGGGGGGGGATTAAATGAAAAGTAGTTTTCTGTCCTAATCCAACCTATTAAGTTTTGTCAATAGCACTCCATGGGATATCCTTGAAAGTTTAGGTGCACCCTACTGGCTTGACAAGTTATGTACCCCTAACCTAGAGGACTTAAGGTCATGGAGCATAAACCCTTGGTTTACAATCTCTCTACTTCTTTCTTTCTCTCTTTCTCTCTCCCTCCCTCCCTCCCTCTCTCTTTCTCACTCTCTCTCTGTCTCTCTCTGTCTCTCTCTCTCTCTGTCTCTCTCTGTGTGTGTGTGTGTGTGTGTTTGTCTCTCTCTCTGATGAATTGTATTCTAGATGGGTTCCCCCTCCCCCCAGAATTCCTCCCCTCACTTAGGTTGCTCCTAGCTTTCCATCTTGCAGCACCATTAGTAGAAGACATGGGCTGCCCTTCCATTGGGTCTATGACAATTCGCCATGCCCAACTCGCCACAGCCAATGTTCCACAGCCATGTTGCCACAGGACAAGTCACTGTGGGACAAGAATTCCACTAATATCAAAGGACTGGTGGAACAGAATCATTAAAGGAAGGATGCAACAGGAGGGAGAGAATGAAACGTGAATGGCAAAAATTAAAATAATTTTTATTTACTTGAAATAATTAAACAGAGTTGTTAAATTGTCCTGCAGCGAGTTGGCCGTAGCGAGTTGTCCTCAGCAAATTGGCTGTGGCAAACTGTCCCATTCCCCCTTCCACTTAGGTATATAGAAAGAGACAAAGAGGGACAAAGATATGGGGAAATTTGAGAGAACTACAAGAGGAAGGTACTGTCAGCTAAGATTGGTCCCGTTGCTATGATTCAACCTTTAGACACCTTTGGCTTGGATGATTGAGTCTTCATTGACCTGTCAGCAAAGAGCCTCTGCAAATTCCAAAAGCAATTGCAAAAATAAATTTGTTGCTGGAAGCACTCCAGTGAAGAAAATCCAAGCCACCCACAGGCTAAATATTGTACTTTCCTCCTTTCTATGGATTCTCAGCGGTGGTTGTTTTCAAAATGCCTGAAATGTGGCTCTTAAAACAAAAACGTAGAGCAGCAACGCAGTGCCAAATAGCCTCATTACTTTTAAACATGGTAGCGTAAATTGAAGCATTAAAAAAAAAAACTCATTCCCGTGCTGTAGCCCAGCACATGTTTTATTATTTCCTCTTCTCCTGTGCACTGGTTACAAAGGAAACCTGCATACGGTGAAAGAAATAACAGAATAACACAGTTGGAAGGGACCTTGGAGGTTTTCTAGTCCAACCCTCCACCCCCTGCTCATGTAGGAGACCTTATTCCATTCCAAACAAGGGGCTGTCCAATCTCTTCTTTAAAGCCTCCAGTGATGAAGCATCGACAACGTCTAGTGGCAAGCTGTTCCACTGGTTAATTGTTCTCAGTACTAGGAAGTTTCTTCTTAATTCCAGGTTGAGAATAGAATAGAGTAGAGTAGAGTAGAGTAGAGTAGAGTAGAGTAGAGTAGAGTAGAGTAGAGTAGAG